TAAGTGTAAAAATGCCCTTGCGACACTCATAATTTGTCATTACATCCACAGGTGACATCATGTCAGTCTACAGGAAGTCTCACCTGTTTGACGTCGAGCTGCCAGAAAAAGGTGTGTCGCTTAAAGAAAGCGCCTTCACCATCCCTGGGCCCGCCCTCGTTCCACCGGTCCAAACTCCAGTTGGCAAGGTGGAATTTGTGTATGTGTGTGCATGTCTGTGTCAGTTAGCAAAATATCTCATGAACCACTGGGTGGATTTTAATGAAGCTTTCAGGGTCTAATCATTGGATGTACATCCAGTCATATTCAAGATGGCTGACACAACCAGCTGAGTTTAGAAAATACAAAAATGGCCATCAGTCAGTTAGTTTTTTGGATATTATGCTAACATTTTGCATGGTTGTAGCTGAGAGTTGTTCACAACATACACGCGTAAGTAGTACATCTTGTGCAAGATCTTTGCTAAACCTTGTTTGTTAGCAAAATATCTCATGAGACATTGGACAGATTTTAATGAAACTTTTAGAAGGTAATGAATACAAAATGTCTATTTTGGTACAGATGCATTTAAAGTTTTTTGTGCTTATACTGACCATGTTGTTGTTGTTTACAGGTGGGACTGGGCATCTGCTATGACCTGAGGTTCCCTGAGTTATCTCTTGCTTTGCAAAGACACGGAGCCGAAGTCCTCACCTATCCATCGGCCTTCACCGTAGCGACAGGAGCTGCACACTGGGAGGTGAGAAGAAGCGGCAACAGGAATACAGAGCTGAAACTCTCCGTTTAAATTGGGAAAATGGCGCTAGCGGTTCTATTTGTTACCAGGTGTTACTCCGGGCACGAGCGATCGAGACTCAGTGCTTTGTCCTGGCGGCGGCGCAGGTCGGCCGGCACCACGACAAGCGCTCGTCGTACGGCCACGCCCTGGCAGTGGACCCCTGGGGCCAGGTGGTGGGTGACTGTGGAGGGGAGAAGCCAGGGATGGTGCTGGTGCAAGTCGACCTGGAGAAAGTCATCAGGACCAGGAGGAACATGCCGGTCCAACAGCACCGCAGAGATGCAGCTTTTTACAACAGCTTGAACCCAACCTGAGCGAGACTGAACTCAAAGTGTGGAACCAAGCAGGATGTAGTCCTGAGGAACCAGGCTGAAGGACCAAATCACAACATTTATGTTTATTTACATGCTGTTCAGGGATCTGATTGATGATTAAACGGAGGAGAATTATCTTTCAAGTCAGATTTAAAACAAGCTGAGATGATTTTGTTAACTGAGGTGGAAATAATCAGTCAAATGAATAATTAATTAACACAAATTAAGTTTATCAATAAAAAACGGGACCTGAACATAACATTACTGGAGACTACGATGGCCGGTGTACAAATCTGATCTTTGTAGATTCATATTTTGAGTTTAAATTGGAATCTTCTCTGCTCGGTCCTCCATTGATTTGTAAATATTCTGTAGGAAGCAACAGATGGCACTGCTGGGCAAGTCGTAGTAGATTTCATGCTACTGCTCAGTTCACTTTCCCAAAAGAGCTAAAACAGAATATAAAAGTACAAATGCAGACTTAAATATCATAAAAATAAATAAATAAGAACTAAAGATCCCTCAGGACCATTCCACAATCATTACTGGTATATTTGAATATTTAATATAAAATATGTTCCTGTAATCTTTTCTGATTCTGACTTCCATGCTGTTGTGCTGAAAGGTTACATGGAGTCATAAATGTAATAACACATCTCCTGGTTTTCATTTCTATAAAGTACAAATGTGTTGTCCACACTTTTTTTTCTTTATGAGTAAAGAGAAAAATATGAAAACATTGATGCTGCGGTGCCTAGAACCTGATATCATTCTGAATTTACCTGGTTTTAAACAGGTGACCAAACACGAGACTTAAAATTTGTAGGGATGCACGATATTGGATTTTTGGCCGATATGCCGATATGTTAAAACTTGTTCGTCCGAAAACCAATACCGATATTTTTAATATAATTTCCTTTGTTAGAACATAGCCCTCTTATTTAGGCTTATTTGCTTCAAAAATTGTGTAACAGCTGTAAGAGCTGGTGACATATATTCAGTAACAGCCATATAGCACTTTAACTTATATTAGATGAAAAGTGTCAAATATTATTTATTAGCATTAGTCAATTGCAGTGCTCTCTCACTTGTGGAGGCTTGTTCCAGGTTCCTAGCTGCAGTGTGGGTTCCTCTCCACTCTTTTGTGCATGAAGGACAGACTTTTTAAGTTCAAAGTTTTTGTCTCTCCATTGTGCTGTAAGACTAATCATGCTAACGGGGCTAACACGACGTCCTAATGTCTGTGGTAAAACTCACCCAAGTGCTATCGGCTATTAGCTTCTCAATGACATCGGAAATGACAGTTTGTAACTCGGGTAAGGTTACGTCGGAAAAATATATATTTGACTGAAGACAATGTAGTGAGGCTCAACATAGTACAAAAATCTTAGGAATCCGACACCTTCAACGAAAAAAACCTTCCTCTCCACCGTGATCATATCAGGTAGGAACATCATCATGTTGTGCTGGTGCTGCAGGCGTCCTTGTCACTGGGTTGTCATACAAAAACAATGTATTTTATGTCGGTGAGTTATTTTGATGGAATGGCCGATGTCCAATGTTTAACTTTAACGCTAATATCAGCCGATACCATGCCGATAATATCATGCATCCATAAAAATTTGTGCCATTTTTACTAAACATCAATTTTACACTGTACCCACAGTGCTGCTAAAAAAAATAAATGACCTTTAATCATCAAATAATCATTATGGGGCACTTTAGATGTGAGAAGACTCACTTCCAAAACACATTCTATTTGTTGTAGGAGCTATCTGCAACAGGTACTACACTTATTGTTTATAACATTTTAGAGGCTCATTTTAAAATGTCTGAAATATCCCATTAAGTAACAAGAGACTCAACACTGGTCCATCTGTTGAATACAGGCTATTTTTTTAATTCTTGAATAATTCATAGGGGGCAGCACGGTGGCGCAACTGGTAGAGCTGCTGCCTCTCAGCGAGCAGGTCCTTGGGTCAAACCCCGGTCCAGTGGCCTTTCTGGGTGGAGTTTGCATGTTCTCTCCGTGCATGCGTGGGTTTTCTCCGGGTACTCCAGTTTCCTCCCACAGACCAAAAACATGCATGTTAGGCTGAAACTCTAAATTGTCCCTAGGTGTGAGTGAGAGAGTGAATGGTTGTTTGTCTCGTTTGTCTCTATGTGGCCCTGTGATGGACTTGCGACCTGTCCAGGGTGTCCCCCGCCCCTGGCACAGTGATTGCTGGACATGGGCACCAGCGACCCCCCTGACCCAAAATGGAATAAGCGGGTAAAGATAATGGATGGATGGATGATTCATAGGTCAGAGTTAAATAGTTTATCAAACCACAAAATGTTCCTTTGGGTGTGACGTAGTAGAATAACATGAGTAAGAAGACAGCTGAAGCCCAGAGAAAGACGGAGAAAAAAAAAATCAGAGCTCTATAAAACGTCTGAAACAAATTATAAATAAATGAGGCATAATTTAAGACTTTTGCACAGCACCTTCCCTCTATTTGTGCTTGAGATGTTAAGACAACCAGGGCAGGACTAATCAGGATGTGGGCCCTGGGCTAGACCAACTTTTGGGGCCTTAATATTACTTTTTAATGCAAACAAATGACATGTGCAGTTTCAAGGGTTCTAAAGCAGAGCTGCACTTAGCTTTAATGTAGTACATTTCTCAAGTCAGAAGCACAAAAAATCAAATCTACAGCCATAACTAGAAAGTCTGCTCAGTCATGGTTTAGGTGTTTAATTAGCCATCACTGCTCAAATGGATCGGAAACGGTTTCTCAATTATTATTATTTATTCAGTAATACAATCTATTTTTTTATGGATCATGTAATTTCAAAATGACAATGGGAGATTAAAGTTCAAATCAAAAATATGAAACGGTGTAATGTCTGCTCATTACACCAAGCAAATAAACTGTATCCAGAATTTAAGCTTAAAAACTGATTAAAATGTTAGATTAAAAAAAGCAGAGCTACTACTTGGTCGTATGAGCAATGATAGGTTGTTTGATATAATTTACATCCATAAATAGATTTTGCTCAATGGATGTTAAGATGAAGGTGAAAATACAGAATATGTATTACCTACATGTAGGCAATTCAACACAATGGTACTTCTTATTTAACTGTTAACAATGGTGTACCACAAGGCTCAGTCTTAGAACCCACTCTGTTCACAATCTACAAAAGTATAGACCAGTTCATTCCTGATGCATTCTTACATTTCTATGCCGATGATGCAGTTGTTTATTGTCGAGCTAAAACAGTTGCTAAGGTTTTCCAGCTCTTACAGACTTTGACATCAACCAGTCAGATTTGTTCTGTCTCAAACTGGTGCTAAATGCTGATAAAACCAAAAGGATGTTGTTTTCAAACAAAAGGTTCCTTCTATCTTATCTACAAATAGTGTCCCTATTGTGTTTGTAGATTCTTATAAATACTTTGGAATCTTGGTCGATGCACATCTCTCTTTTAAGCCTCATCTCGAAAACTTGATAAAGAAATTGAAATTAAAATTGGGTTTCTTTTTCAGAAATAGATCTAGCTAAACTCTGAATGCTAGGAAACACCTTGTAACTGCTACTTTCCTTCCCTCTATTAACTATGGTGACATTATTTACATGAACGCTCCTACAAGCGCCCTGCAGATGTTGGACGCTGTCTATCACGATGGGCTAAGATTCCAAACTGGTTGTAACTACCATACCCACCACTGCACCCTGTATTCACTGGTTAACTGGTCATCATTAACTTCACACAAACTCTCACACTGGTACATTTTCATATTTAAATCACTTCTTGGTCTGCTGCCTTCATACAGTATATCTCCTCCTATGTCTCGTCGTCAGTGCAGTTACAGCGTGCACTCTGAAGACATCATTACTTTCAGTGTTCCCTGCGGACTGAATTCAGCAAAAAAGCCTTTTCTTACTCCGCTCCTGTTTCCTGCAACACCTTGCAAAAAGATCTGAAGCTGTTGTCTTTGACCTCCCTAAGGAATTTTATGCACCTGTTAAGTTCAATGCAAAAATCAATGCAAACATGCTCCTGTTTTTAGTATTTTACCTAGTTTTGTAATGTAGCTTTTTTTTTTTTTTTTATATATATCACTACTTTTATTTACTTTTCATTATATATACATTGTATGGCTGTTTATTGTTGTGTGTACCTTATCTGTGGTTCTTGAAAATGAGTCCTTGTGACATATTGAGACTAACCTGTATGAATAAAGGTTGAATGTGCTCCAGCATCAATGTGTGGCATGGAGGCTGCACAGCTGCAGAAAGAAAAGATTTGCAGAGAGTGGTGACGGCTGCACAGAAGACTGCTGGAGTCAGTCTCCCCACCATCACAGACATCTACACCTCCAGATGCAGGAAGAGAGCCACCTGCATCATGAAAGACCCTACTCACCCAGCACACACACTTTTTGCCCCACTCCCCTCAGAAAGGAGTTTAAGGAGCATTAAGTGTAGAACCACTAGACTGACACAGCTTCTACCCTGAAGCTGTTAGACTCATGAATCTCTAACCA